AAATCTGGGTACACAGCTGGAAGTCCAGAACAAGGATTTCGGCGCTGTTTCGCAGACGGAGTAGGCTCGATTACCAGCTGCTGTTCGGGGAAATGAGCCCGCACTCATCCCCCGAAAGAGCGGCTGGACGCGTGCGATTTCCTTTGTTGGCTTAAGCCAATCATGTTACCGCCTGCAGATTTTCGTCTGGCAAAGATTGTCGCAGAAATTATCAAATCAAAACGGAAAGTCCTCCCTTGATCCATCGCATGGCGAAGTGATTTCGACGGCCCGGAGACACTAGGCGAAATTCTAGAGTCGGAAGGAACACAACGTTTTGTTCGATTGTTTGTTGTGAACTTTTCCTTTAATGATCGTTGTTGGAGAGATTTTGCATCTTCAAGGATCTTTTCAAGGCGCTTTAGGTCTCGATAACTTCGTTTGTTACAGATGTAACCGTCCACGTTTATATTTCACAGAGGAACATTCAATACGCTGGAAAATCTGTCTGGTAAATCAGAAACTTTTCCATTTAATTTGGTCCGCTTCCAAGAATCAGTCAGTTCGGACCCACAGAAGACGCAACCAATATTCGAAGATCAAAGAAAATTAACTACATGTTGCCGTGTACAGAAGTGTACCGAAGAATATTTTTCACAATGTATGGAAATGTACCAAAAAAGCTATTTCGAAAGTCATTTGGGTGGGTAAGGGAGCGCTTGATGCAATTTTGAGCCAAATAAATTAGAAAATTGGGGACCGGTTTCACTTCCATTGACATCGGAGACGCTTAAATTATCAATTTTCCGATTACGTCACAGACAAGGTCAACGGGTCACGCGTCCAGCCGTCTCTCTTCGGGGAGGATCAAAGACCGGACCCGGGAGACGGCGGAAATCGAGCCTACAGACGGAGTTAACCAGAGTTTAATTTCGTCTGCGCGCAGGCTACTCGAAACTCGATTTGTTCAAGTTTCGAGACTCCAGCATCGAGTCTCAAGTCTTTTTTAAGCGATTCTGTAGGATTTGCCGACCAGTTTTACTTGTAACTTAACCTACCCGAGTGAAGCATACTAATTTCTGCTGCTTTTATTAGAGGTGAAAACGAATACGGCAACTTAACCTTTTGCTAGCTACTGTACACATTTAAAGGAAATTACATGATTGCTAAATTAATTAAAAAAGGTACAGCTTCATTGAATTTTGAATGGGTGAATTATTCTCCTCTTTTGCCGGTTTTTTGTTCAAAATTTCTCATTTGAGAGAGAAAATTGTGTGGCGTCAGAGAACAGCTAAGAAATTTTTCCTCTAGACCCGGGATCTTAACACAATGTTCCCAATCTGCTGCTTATGAAAACTAAACTGTCCTTCAGCTCTTACGCTGAGACTTAGCAAACTGATTTTCATGATTTTAGTCAGTTTGGATAAAATAGGCCCTTTGCAGCTAGCCATTCACGTGGTACAAAACCGTCACGCTGGAGAGCAAAAGTCGCACTGGGACAAGACAAACAAGGCATACATGATTTGAAATGGTAATTTTCTTTGTTTGTCTTGTCCCAGTGCGACTTTTGCTCTCCAGCACGGCGATTTTGTACCACGTGAATGGCTAACTGCAAAGGGCCTATAGGGACAATAAAGAGAAGTGTGACGTCACATTACCATGGTAGCAAAATTTCAGGATCTCAAAAGTCTTTCTTAACAGAGACGGCCACTTGATTAGTCGACCAGTGGAGGGCAAGACGAAGTATGGGCTTGCTACCGTTTTGTTTCTGAGTGCAAGCGTGCACGGGAGAGTCATACATGTCAATTTTTTCGTTTTCTTCTGCCATATTTGTAGGATCACGGTTTGTTGGGATCCAAAAATGTTGCTACCATAGCAGCGTGACGTAACTTCTTTCTCTATGGTGTAATTATTGTTTTTATTAGTGATGTTTGTATCTGTGCTCGTATTTTGCAGCATGAATGGTGTTTTAGAATTCTATGACACTGCTGATGTTGTGTGCATGAACCAGGCAGAACACTTTATGGCAACTGATGTGGAGTGGGACCCTACTGGCCGATATGTTGCTACATCCGTCAGCTGGTGGGCACATAAGGTAGAATTTCTACTCTCTATTAAGTCTAGTAAAGCAGCTTCCCACAACTTTAAGTTCTAGAAGCTGTGTCAGACTTGTCACTGTTCGACTAATGTGAACAATGTGATTGAAATGGTCTCGTTTTCTATTCAGTGTTGTTAACGGCCCCTGTAATTCCCTGTGGTCTTGAATCCCATCATACCCTCCTAACCAACACCAGTTCACATGTTTTGAACAATTGTAAAACTGGTGGCTCTGTTGCAGAGGAGGAAAAACAATGTAAACATGGTCTTCAGTGTCGACTGCTTTTTAATTGCTGATACTAAAGTTTACGTTTGCAACATTCACCACGGAAGTAACTCACTGGTGCTAAGCTAGCACGTACCCAGAGTCAGGCTTTTCTCTCACTATATAAATTTGACACAAAGAGTTGGTTCTCCCCATGGTGCGAGCTTGGATTGGGATGCAGTAGGCCAGTTTCGAATTATCAAAATTCGTATTTGACTCCGAGGCTGAGTTGTATAAAGCAGAAGAATTGAGTCGTTAATCCTTGAATCTCAATGTGATTTCCTTTAATTTATTCCCCTCCGCCTCGGAGCCAAGTATAAATTATAATTAATTTATAACAGGCCCATAGAGAGGAAAAGTTGGACGTCACGTAACCATGGTGGCAAAATTTCTGGGTCACAAAAATAGGGAGCTGAAGCTTCAACGACGGCTACGGCAACGAGAAAGGAAAAAAAGCAATAGGTTTATATTAGCACAACATCATCTTGCAGGTGCATCACTCTTTTCATGTCTTAGCCGTCGTTACACGTCTGCGATATGAAACTTCCAAACTTCACTCGCCCGCTTCTTGGGGTGCGTGAACATAACAAACATTTTTTGTTTCTTTTCTAAACTATGATACGGTCCTTTCGGATTCAACCACAGAAAATTTCGCCAACGTTTGACAAATTAAATAAAACTGAATAAGATCGAAGAGGTTGGAACATTGTCTGCGTGCAGACGTCTCCTATTTCCTTTGTTGCACGCGGAAAAGGGACGTCTGCGTAACGCCGTCGCTAATCGTGTTCCAGCGTCCCGCTGGCAGGGTATTCTATTTCGTATAAATTGTGAAATAATATCCGGTTAGAAATAAGAGTTGACAGGCCAAACAAAACATCATAAGCTCGTGATACGGGCGAAACGTGACCTTGAGAGTCTGCTTGAGCAGAGGTTTTTCTTCTTTTCTCTCTCGCGCGAAGATTAGTAGCACTACACAGAGCATGTAGCATTCTAACCTTTGACTGAGTAAATCTCATTTTTGCCGCGCTAAGTCTTCCATTTAGAGGTCATGAAGCAGGTTTGTTACATGCATACTGAGTAATCATTTCCCGTGGTTTATGCTTCTGTGGGTGTTCCCGATAGGACTTGATTTCAGATGCAGTTGTAAAGTGTTTAAATTTTCTTGACCTCTGTTTGTTACGGCTAAATAAAGATTTTAGTTTCTTTGGCTGGCTTTCTCCGAAATGCCTGCCTGGTGCGAAGTCCACGCCGCTTTTGTAGTTTTCTCAGACACTGTTTACAAATATGATGTGATGTGTCATGCACAGTAAATTGTAAAGAAATAATTTCCTCGTATACGTTAAATTTTCCGCGTCCCCGCACAAGATTTCGATCGCTCTGCTTTTCGATCGACGAAAAACACAGCACACAATCGCACATGTTTTGATTTGTTTTGGTTAGAAAACCCCGTTTACATAAATCATTTAAATCACCGCATACATTATCAGACCACATTCGATAACAACCAATCAGCGTTAAGTCAAACAATGCGCACTGTGTGTCTGCCTATCACAGCGTGTTCCCAAGATCTTGGGAACCCAGCAGGACGCTGGAACACGATTAGCGACGGCGTTACGCAGACGTCCCTTTTCCGCGTGCAACAAAGGAAATAGGAGACGTCTGCACGCAGGCAAGTTGGAACAGTGCGAATTCCTTTTTAAAGTGATGTTTTCGGTTTTTTGTCATCTAGAAATTTTGCAACGATGGCAACGTGACGTAACGACTTCTCCTTTCTATTGTAGCTTGTGTCAGACTCTTAGATAGGTCGCGAAAACTAGCTTCCGTTTTCACAATCTTTTACTTTGAGGGATGTTGAAAAGCTATTCCTAAGAATGTCAATATTGAGATTCGAAGGAAACAAAATTAACTGTTTTTCGCCAAGGGACCAGTCTTTAAGCGATTTGTTATATAACCCACAAAGAAGAACTTTTTCGTGTACAAATTTATAAAAACAAATCTCGTGAGCGGTCAACATTCGCGGGTAAGTGGGTAACAGTGCCTTGTTACCCTCTGACGTCATAGATTTTGCAATGTTGCCCGCTCAGAGATTTTTTGTCATGTGACCTCAGAATAACCAATGAGAGCGCGAGCTGCTGGTAAAAAATTTCCAGCTACATAACAAAACAAAATTAACTGTTTCCCAAGTAACCAGTAGTCATTAAGTGTTTATTATTAGCTGCACTCATGATTTTCTTGCATTTTTGTATTTTCTTTATAGGTGGATAATGGTTATTATATCTGGTCGTTTCAAGGAAAGCTTCTCCAGCGTCATGCTTTAGATCAGTTTTGTTCGTTGCTATGGAGACCCAGACCTCCTACCCTGCTCACGGAAGCTGATATTAAGGTAAGGTACTGGTGATGAATCTGACTGTGCTGCCTGCTGCCTGGTAAACCAGCTTCACTTTCCAGCTGTGAAGGTTCTCTGCTTTCTCTGTGCCATTTCTTTTGTCTAGATCGGTGACTTTGAATTAAAGCATCCTTTTCCTGCTGATACATCTTTCTCTTTGTGAAAAGCATTCTTATGCCAGTTGAATTCTTATGCCAAGAACGAGTCAAGCAGGAATTTGCAGTGGTGGCACGCGGTGGTTTCTTAACCCTTTCGCTGCTGGGAATTTGAAGCTAGTTGAGCCCGTTTTTGGCCACTGTCTGGTTATAAAGACCACAAAGCCGTTTACAGGTCGTACACTTCGCAGCCTTCTGATCTAGATGCAAAATATTAGCGTCCGAGGTTCGCGCTTTGGCTTTTCCTGCCTCAATGGGGCGAATTGGTTGAGTTAGGTTTACGAAATCTTTCAGTTCGTTTTAGCAATATTTTTGGGTATAATACGGCATACTATGCTTCCTTTCATTCTGGGGTATATTGAAGAAATTTTGGTTGAATTTGAGGAGGGGGGAGACTATATTGGCTATTTTTTTTAGACTAAGAGCTAAGAGCGTTTTTATTCAGTTCTGCAAACTACTAATTCTTACGTAAAACTGAAAAGTGTATATATGTTACCAGTAATGGAAACGTATGCTCTATTTCAGAATATCAAGAAGGACATCAAGAAATTCCAGCGCATGTTCGAGATCAAGGATCGAATGAGCCAGTCTCGAGCATCCAAGGTGAGCCTATTGACGCTTTGAAGTTGAAATAATGTGCATCTGTGTTGTGGGCTTTTAATCAAAGTGATCACACAAAGGCGCTAATACATATTGGTAAGACTTGCGAAGTTGTCGTGAAATTGTAACTACTAGTGTAAGAATTTAGCAAATCTATAGAAGTTTATTGACATACAAATTTTACTATTTTGAGAAACAACTGTGACTTTTTTGCTAACTAAAACCAAATCGTGGACCTGCCAATCACCAGAGACAGTAAATCAAATGAACCAATCAGAGCTGGAAGCAGTACTGGTGAACGGCAAGTTTCCCAATACAAACACTTTGGTTTCGATTCCGCTTCTGATTGGTCAAGAAAATGGCGGGAAGGATTTTAACAATGCGTGAGCAATGCAAACCGAAGATCTAGAAGAATTATTGTCAGCATGTTATAGGCAGTCCTCTCTCCTAATAAGTTACTGTCTCAATGTAACCTCCTTCTTGGCATCGCTGCATGGCATATTTTGGATGTCGGTTGCAAACGGTGTATGTGTGGAGGAAGAGTTTAGCGTGGTCGTCTTCAGAACTGAAGCTGATAGATGCTTTCGTTCTTCCTAAAACCTCGCTACATGTGAATAAATTAGGTCTATTAGACAGAATAAAGATGTGTCTGTTGGGACATTATATTACAAAAAAATTCTTCAAAACGAGGCTGCGAATAACAGCGAATGTCATCACTGATGAAGAGACCCGGATGAGTTCCAAAAGCTCTGCGTAACTTTCAGAAAATTGCCAGGTGTTGAAGAATATTTTCCTGTTATATTTGAATTTCTTTGTATAGGAAATGTCAACCGATAGTGCATACGGGGCGTCTTCAAGACGTGAAATGGAAAAAGTTGTCTAGTTTCGTATTGTGCATACAATATTTTATGTTTTTCCCTTTAGGAGCTGATTGAGAGGCGGCGACGAAAGATGAAAGATTATCAGGGCTACAGACAGAAGAAGAACATGGAGTTTACGCAGCAGAAGGCGCTTCGCTTGGAATTACGAAATGGTAAGTGGAAAAATGCTGGTATCATGTGTCATGTAAATCATAAGTTATAAGTAATTTTTTGCTTGGAAATGGGCCGTGTCGAACGCTCCGAGCCCTGGACTAGCAATCTCATGTCCCGTCTGGCCGTGTTCATGTTTCAGCCTTGGCCTAGTAACATTTAAAGTAACGTTAGACCGAGCAGCCAACGTCCGACGTTTTCCCCATTCAAACACCAGAAAGTAGTGGTTTAATGCGTCTGAGATTTGTTGTTAATATCCAACTGGTTGGTATCCTGTCAGTCAGGATTTTTAGTTATAAGTTATTTGTTTCAGTTTCCCCGTGAAGCTCTTAAAGAGGAGAGGATATTGAAGTATTTGTTTGTTTGGTTTTTCCTGTTAGGTATTGACACGGATGAGTTGGACAGTAATGCAGATGAGTTTGAGGACGAGTCGGTGGAGTTCTTTATCAAAGAAGAGATCACCGAAGTTGAGGAGTAGTTCATATTTGTTTGACGTCATTTTCCCGAAAGAGAGCGCCACAGTCCCAACAAGTGAAAAGAAAACAAGTTATTTGATTCGAAATATTCCTGTCTTGTTCAGACGAACTGAGTGCTTTTAGACTGATTCTAACAGGCACTTGGTATCATACAAGTTTAACACAAAAGGTTCTGATTTAGTGTTTGCCCTGTAGTGTGTGGTAGTTCTATAATAGCCAATTTTCTCTGTGATAGACCTGACCAGTGATTGTAGCCTTTTAACTATAGTTGTGTAGAAATGAGTAGTACAAAAAGCTGTTGGTTTGTACCAAAACGCGAGTTCCTTTTGAGGATCTCGCACTGTTTAATCAAAATTTTAATTCCCAACATCCATTATAATATCAACCTTTCTGCTCGTCATAGGAAATTAAAATGGAATATTGTCTGTTCACTTGTTATTAATTGTTTTTTCTCCTTCGCTATATACCATTGTCATTTCGGTCCCAGAAGTCTTCGCAAAGTTAACTCTACCCAGTTTCCTTTTCGTTTTTTTAGTGGCGAATGACCGAACTGAGTGTTGTCCATAAAATTTACAGGCGCACGACCTGACACGTGAGAGCGCCACTTCTGACGCGTTATGAAACATCAAAATACTTTGCCGTGGCATAACTTGTCGCGGTCACACGCATTAGCTGTAATCCAAATGCTAGCGAAAAGTAGATAATTGATGCCTACAAAAGTAGCTCAACGCATGATCACTCTACGCTCCTACATTTTGCAGTGTGGATGTTTGCCATGCGCTTGCGCCCAAATGTTCTTCAGCCTGATGTCCATTCGCCATTTTGAAGGTGCGTGAGAGACTGGGTCGGTGTCGTGTCCAATTGCACTATGGGACTGTTTTTGACTGCTTTTTTGAGACCAGACATGTGGACTGAGGCGGCTGCATAGCCGGTGTGCCTTTACCTCTGTACTGGTTCCTCCGTAATTCAGGCACTAGCTGTAAGACCCGGGGGCCACCCAACATTACAAAGTTTTAAAAGGGGAGGCTCCGCCCCGAAGTACAAGTAAGGGTTATTTACCTGGAACTAGGGGGTATGTGATATATTTACCTGGTACCGTCCAGAGCTAAGAGTAACCCCATCTCGGAACTGCAAGAGAAAGAAACTAACACCACCATTTCTTTCTTTCTTTCTTTGTTGGCTTGTTCCATAAAAATCACATGAGGACCATTTATACGAGGAAAAATAAGACGCGTCTTAAATAAGACGCGAACTGTACCATTTATACGAGCATGTCTTATCTAAGACGAGAACAGCTCGAATAAATGGTTCGCGTCTTATTTCTGTTCTTGACTCGTTTTCATGTGAATGTTGCCTGTAGCAACAACAATGCAACGTGGGAGGGGAACGAAATGCAACGTGGCGCGCCAAAAATTAACGCATGCGTACTATGCGTTCGCATCTTATGTACGACGCGAAGGTCATTTTATACGAAGTTTTTCTCGTCTTAGCTAAAACGCGTCTTATCTAAGAACAGGTGTTAAGGGCTGTTCTAAAGTAAGACGCGTCTTAGCGAAACCGTGTCTTATTTTAGACGAAATGTGCCATTTATACGGAAAGTTCGCGTCCTATGTAAGACGCGGGTTATTTTTCCTCGTATTAATGCCCCTATTATTTCGTCAACCCACACTTTGTTGGCTCTTTTGTTCACAAGAATCTGATTTTAAAGCATCAGTTGCAGATTCAGATTCTGGCAATAAATCAGTTGGCACACCTAAGTTACATTCACAACATTCGCTGATAGTAACTGAAAAAAAAAATCCGAAAAACAACAGGTCCCCAGAAAGTTAATTCAGTTGCTTAGTGATACCAACTAAAATAATACACATCAAATTTGCATATATCCAGTGACTGTCTTTTATAAACAAAACCAGTTTTTTTTAAATCATACTCATTGTTTTGTCTCCATAAATATTATGTTTCCTTTGTAATTCAAGCTTTGAGCTGCAGATGCAAAATATACTTAAGAGCTTCAAATAAATAATGTATTTGCACTGCCGACAATGGTGTTGCTATGAGATAAGTGTTTTATGCAAAGACAGTTACGATTTTATTAGACAGTTACTTAACCACAATCCTGTTTAGAATCGGCTTGGATTTAACTTTAGTGAAAACATGGAAGACGACAGGCGAAATAGGGAAAATACTGTCTTGGAACTTTTCTGAATAATGACGATTGCGGGCTCAAAAGCGGAGGAATACGTCCAAAAAATCAACAGACTTTATGACATCCACTTAGAAAGAGAATTACGCCACTTAGAAGACGAGAGAAGGTTTTATCTAAAGACGTTTCGTACCGAATTCAAGCTGGTGATAGAGAAGCGCCAGAAAATAAGAAACAAAGCTAAAGAGTACAGGCGCCTACGAGTTTTAAAGAACCAAGAGATATCGGCCTCCGAAGGTTTTCGTGAGGGTAACGAGGAAATATTCATCACCGAGGTTGGGACAAACAGCCCCGAAGTTTAAAACTGTTATCTTTTCATTCAGGAGTTAAAACTGGTGGGTTTTTGTATGATTTTGCGGCAAGGAACAATCCCTCGAGACTTTCAACGTGAGAGTGATTTGAATGATTTTCTGAGTCGGAATTTCCGATGACTTTAGAACATGTATTATGTGTGATACTTATTGGAAAAAAAGGCTGAACTGAGCTACGTAAATACTTCAGTAACATTTACTGCATCTGTCGCTCCTTGTTATTCACTATTGGTAAGTCCACGACGAGCACACCGATAACGATTCGGTACTTTTTTTGCAGGGATGGATTACCCTGCGTTCCAGTCACGGCCCGTTCTCTAAACACCTAGGCCAGGATGAAATTAAATAAACCGTACTCACGGTTTGTTAAAGCTCCCGCTTTGCGCCTCGCTATCGCGGCTTCGCAGCGAACTATCAGAAGCTAGCAAAAAAAAAACCGTCTGGGTAGGGATGGATAATTTGTCAACAATATTTGTCACGAGATAATAGACTGGATGGTTATTAAAAAAATCATATAAGCTTTGTGTTGAACTTTTACACTATTCGGCAAATAATAATAATAATAATAATAATAATAATAATAATAACTATTCGCAGAGATACAATGGTTACAGGGTTGAACAGTACAACGTAATAATTGACGTAATAGAGAATAAGCGAATAATAATAAATAATAATAATAATACTAAAAAGAATGGAACGTTTTTTGACGTAAATGACGTTTTTATTTAGATTTTTTAGAACAAATGTGATATTAAAAATATGTTTTTTTGTTAAAAAGAATTTAATAAATTCTAAATTGGCTTTTCAAAAGCATTTAAACACTATGTATAAAGAAAAAATAAAATTCATAAACTATGTATTTTAGGATTGTATTAGGTTTCGTATCGACCTTTTTTTTCTTGCTCATTACCAACCATAAAAGGAAGGGATAACTCAAAAGCACAACCAAAAAAATAAAAACAAAAATGTGCTTACCGTTTGGTCGAAGGATGATCATTTTTAGTGCATATAAGGACAAACTTAACCAGTCTGAGTCATATTAACATGTCCATGAAGGTCCAAAAAGACTTTCATAGCCAGAGTTAGGTAAGGTTAGGCAAAGTATAAGCGCACCATTTCGTTCCCCTCCCAACTTAATTAACACCACGCCTTATCTTCTTTTCTAAATCAAAGCCTGTTGAAAAATGAACCATTAGAGGGCGTCACGCTATCTGATGTTATGGACGCCGCCGCGAATGACAATACTAAACAATCATTTGCCAAAGTCGTAGTGAATTGTACAAGATAATAACAGCCGAGCTTAACAACCAATCATAACCTCGTTCTCAGGGCTTTTTTCTTCCTCCCTTCCCATTTTTAAGGAGAAAGCCCTGGGGACGAGGCTGAACCAATCTCCTATTGTGTTGCAGTTTTCGTTCAATTGAAACAAAGACGAGTTTCAATTTGAAGTTGAAATGAAATAGAAGAAAGAATGAAATAAGCGTCCCCCAATTAAATAAGCTTCCCGCTCTCGACGACTCAAAAACTGCTCTAATGACATCGCGTAAATCTTCTTTTGAGCTTCCCAGGGGCTCATTTATTCCAATCACGTTTGAGGAGGGGAGTAATTAAGGTGACCCCCCGACATCAAGAAAGAAGCCAGGCGATCATACAGTGGAACATCAAAAACAAATCCGAACTTCCACCACGTTAATAAACAATACAGGATCATTAGACAATTTGTGTGAAGAGTTACATTTGTTTATTATTTAGGGGGTCTTAAAAGCTACGGTGGCTTAGTAAAAATAACTTTCTTCCCAGAGAAAGGGGGACGGGGGGGGGGGTATTAGAGATCGGGGGGGACGAAAATATTTGTAAATGGTTAACAACCACCATTTACAAAAACTTTCCGGGAAATCTGGACGGAAAGTAAATGGAACACGACTTTTTGGGTCCGCTTCCCAACGGAAAATTTCCTGGAGCAACGGAACACCTGAAAAGGTGGTCCTGTTTTTCTGGATGAAATATTACAAAAAGAAATTCGTGTTCCATTTCTGCAAAGCCATCTTTGATAACAGTTTCAGGCCTTCGCGGCCGTTTTTCAGTAAATGGAACTGATTTGTACATGATGATAGCCTGTTCCAGGCTCCCAAGATAATGGTGAAAAGTCGTTCAGTCAGTCAAAAGGTGTAAAAAGAAATGCGAAAACGCGCGAGGGCTGGGGGAGACAGGGCTCTCTCTCCCATTTTCCCCGCCGCCACCGCCCCATTTCCCAAGTCGCTCGCGTCTTATTTTCAATACGTCCCCACTTTGCTATAAGCGAGCCTGGCACTGGCTAGTCTTTTGTCATCATTCATAGCTTGAGGCGTCATACAGTCTTTTTTTGAGAATGTTGTTTTCCTCGGACCCAGGCTGAATATTCTTATTTTTCAGCCTTTTTTAGGCTGAAAATATTCTTGTGTTTAATTATTCGTAAATTGTAGCCTCTCACTTTTGTTTTGGGGTATAAATTGCTGTTAATGGCAATGGCACCTTGTGTATTCTTTTTGGTGGCTAGTTTTACCATTAAGAGAAAGGAATAATTTCACGGCTACCTTGATTTGACATTAACTGAGCAAAAAAAACCTTAAAGGAATAAATTAGGCACTCCATTTACTATGTTCAGAGAACTGGTTTGACGAATATTTCTCCGCTTACGGTGGCCAAATTGAAATCTTTTATGAAAACCAGATTGCAAATTAGGTTGATATTAACACAACAAATTCGGTCATACTATGTAGAAGACTCTCCTTTAGGAGTTTGATTCTAATTTTCTGATGTGTATCCCTCGTCACCCTAGCCACTCTAGTCACCCTCCCCCTGGCCCTCTACTTTGAACGAATAGCGTGACATTTAAAAATAGCGTGGCTATGAAAACAGCGCGACAACAAGACCACTAGCGTGATGTCTGATGTCTGTATTATCGGTCACGTGATAGTCATTTGCTTTAGATCACTTTCTTTTTCTGTAGTTCCGCTTCGTCGTAAAGCTTCCTCCTGTGCATTTTTTCAGTCATTAAATCATATTTCCTTGGATTCTTTTGTGCACGGTGAGTAATTTTACGTTGGTTATTCAGCTTAGTCATGGTCACAGATTAACTCAGACTAATTTGCTGTCGTAGTTTTCTATCAGATAGCAAGCTTTGTATGTGCTGATTTTAAGACCCACTCGTTCGCCATACACTAATTAAAGAATTTTATAGCCTCGGCATACTTAATTATCGCTACTGTCATATGGTATAGAATTGGGGTGACAAAAAGGGGTTTATTTGTTGTGACTTCTTCAAAACCGTTATAATTTTCGCGTTATGATCCGAATCAGACAACAATTGCCTGTACATTTCCTTATGCGTAGGTCTACGAGATCATTAAAGATTGCAATCTCTGACTCTGACTTAGGTCACACTGCTCTGATGACTGCTCTTTCTCTCTTGCAATATTGTTTTGAAATGGTTTTTTGGTGGAATTGTCCAAGTTTGAGACCAACATTGAAGGGAAAGGGAAAAGGAGGTTCAGCACAACATGTCAACGTTATTCCTTTCTAATGTCCCGAATTGTGGATTTACATCATGACCGGTAGTCGCCCTTTCGTTAAAAATACGATCACCAAAGAGGTTGCTATTATCCATTTACCCTGAATATCCCGTCGAAACCAGGCGGTGGGTAATTGGTTGTCCACGACCAAAGCTAACGCTTGTTTTGTATTTGGAATAGGAACCAAAGGAATGTTCATTTAAAATTATTTATGCAATCATTTACGTCTATTGATCAGGTTCATAGCTTGAGGCGCCACGCACTCTTTTGTTTTAATAAGAATGTTGTTTTTCTAGCCCATTTTAAATTTTCTTATTTTTCTGCCGATTTTAGGCTGAAGATATTCTTGTATTATTCTTATAAATTGTAGCCTCTCACTTTACCGTTTTAGAATGTGTTTGGGTATAAATTGCTATTAATGCCAGTGGCACGTTGTTTTTTTCTTTTTGCTGGCTAGTTTTACCATTAAGAGAAAGGAATAATTTCACGGTTAAGTTAAAAACATATAATTGCATTGTATTGACAGATTTTCAACACACAAAATTATATCCTTTTTAGCCTAGGGTTTATTCTTATCATATTCTTAAGATTTTGCAAATTTCAGTCTCCATATTCTTATAAAATTAAGTCAAATCCCGGTGTTAATGCGAACACTGTATGTGCGATAGGAAAGGTCCGTATTAAAGGAGTGTCTGTATCAAGCGGATTGAATTTAGAGAAAATGTAAAGGCTTTCCCCAGGGACAAAGAAAACTGTCCGTAATAACGAGGTGTCCATATTAAGTGGGTTTCTGTAAAGCGGGGTTTGACTATTGTTGGTTTTCACATGACGTCACTTAAATTCAAACTACAAAGCTATCGATCCTACTGAGATTTTACTTTCATGATGTATTAGAGCAGCTGCAAACTAATTTTCATACAAATTTTTGCCTCAAAAGGGTTCTTGGTTTTGTGATAGAGTAGGCTTGAATTTCTAAGCTTTTGCGTCCATAACAGCCAAGAGAACAGTGGTTAAAAAATGACTTCTCTCAGGAAACCAACGAAGAATAAATTCACGCTTTTGTAGCAAAACTCGGTAACAGATGTTTCTGTTGGTTTCCGTCCGCCATGTTGGAGCTAATCCCAGTCATCCAGGCGAGCACCAGCATGGCGTCTCGATCCATACAAATCTCTATACGGGGACGACCGACCTGAATCTTGGCGACACCGGAGATTCTGGACTTTATCTATTGAACAGTTTTGTCTTTATTTTGATCTTTTTTTTTGAATGGCGTGACACTTTAGGAAAAAGAGGGTGGTACAAACCTAACAGTGACTCCTACCGGTAGTCAGCTATACGGGGACGACCGACCGGAGTAGCGTCTGTGTTTACGTTTGCAGTCTAAACCTGACTCCTCCCTAGTCAGTATTATTTGCTAAGGCCGAGTCATACATAACCTGCGATACATAAAGTCATAATAGGGAGAGGGCATGATCTCAGGCTAAGTCATACAAGGTGTGCAAAAGTACAAATTTCAATTTGTTCATTTTAATTAATGATGAATGATCGCACTATTACTAAATCTGGGAGTGATGAACGGGTTAAAGAAGCCTTAATTTATGTCTGAAATTCAAGCTAGGGTTAAAATGCCACGAAGGAATTTTCGTGTATTCAGTTATGATAAAGAATCAACAATTTCATCGGCGAATACAGAACGAAAAAATTAATGAACTTTTGTGTAACACACTTTGTTCTCTTTTCCTCTCTGTTTGATATCTCCTCTCCCCGTGTTTATCCTTTACCTCCAGAATATCTGTTACCCTCAGTTTGCCATTCAAACGAAGCGGTGGTCGAAACGGCCTGGAACACTAAACGTTATTATTGAACGACATTGATTGAAAGACTTTTAGTCATTATTATTTGGTTTGAAAAATGCAGACACTGACATCGAATGATATATCGTTAATGATCTAAAAGACGCCTTCTCTCAAATAAACTTCTCTTCTCTCCAGTAAAGATCCCCATCCCCCTCCGGCTGTTATATTTGTATTTAATGTGAACGCCCCGACTAAGACGCGCCTCCCAATGACAATTATTTCAGAATACTAGGACAAAGTGACATAGCCAGAGAAAAATCGTTCAATTAACTGGTAGTCAGTTTCTTGCTTGATTAACAAGGGTTTACACATTGCATTTTCCTCCGTAAGTTCAAAGTGAAAAAAGCGCTCTTTGGTATTTTTGATGTGCTCAATACGTCACTGAACTTTCGTCCGGCCTGTTCTAGCTCGGTAGTATCTAGGTCAAACAAAACCCTCTCTGCGTTCTCGTTTTCCGCAAACGTGGACGGTAAGGAATTCGCTTTCGAAGTACATTAGTTTTGTTAAAGGTGGCACTATACATTTATCGGAATGAACGCCTCCTATTTCTTAAACGCCCCCTATTCTTTAAACCCCCAGAACCCCCGAGCTTTAGCCCGTGTACAGACGCCCACTTCCCTAAAAGGTATCGAGGTGGGTGAGTGCGTCTGTACACAGGCTACCAAGCCTTCATTCAGAAAACGGTGTACCAAACAAATCTTGGAGGCCCATTGCTGGTAACAAGCTAGCTCCCTGGCAAGAAAATTGTGCTTGAAGCCCACGCGCAGTCCTCTACCTAACCGACTAGAATAAAACTGCTGAAACTGTAGATACTTAACCTGCCGGCTCGTATTGAACGCAGTTTATAATTAGTGACTGACTTTTCATAGTCTTTTGGGGTTCCTGTGTTCATCTCCGGTTGATACTCGACATTCTGTATAATAAGTGAAAAGCCCAACCTTTCACTTACAAGAAAATAAACTAAAAGGCAATGTCTCTTGCAGGATTATAAGGTGGTGATGGAATACTCGCAAGAGCAACTAAACTACTTCAGATTCTGCTACATAGCATTTGATTTGGTTCCAGTGGGACTGCGGCAGATTTTCAAAAACGAGTGGGATTTCCTTTATAAAGGAACGTTGATTAGAGAATGGAAAGACACGGCACAAAATGGTTGTGATTTCTACAACAAGGAATCTAAAGCAAGTCACAAGAAAAACTCTCGGTGTCTAGCAACAATACAGAACGGTAACACGGCAGAGTGGGACTGCACCTGTTTGTTTTTTGCCATCCTGTACTCAGACAGCATTGGTACCACTTTAAGCCCAGCTGTTCGTAAAGAGGTCGATGACATTCGTCAGGTGCGAAACGAGATCGCTCATATCACCGAGGCTAAGTTGACAGATGCCGACTTCCAAATTTCTGTAAATAGAGTGTTGAACGCTTTTGCAGCCCTTGGTCTTGCTGTAACTGAGATTCAAGAAATAAAGAACCAGACGACCTTTCCGACGAAGGAAGTGGAAAAAATTAGGAAGCAAGTTCGTGATCTCCAAGCCGAGTTAGATCAGACAAAAAGCACTCTTCGAAGTACAGAAGTTGCCTTGGTTTCTACAAAAGAAGAAAACAAATGTCTCACACAGGAAATAAGTGCGAAACTTCAACCATTTTGCCTTCTCGTATCGCGCCCACCACACGATATCATTAGGCGCTCGCATGACATTGAAAGAATCACTAACAAAATGGAGGAACTTAACAATGGCTCTAGCGGAACAATCAGTACAGTGTACTTGTCAGGAAGTCCAGGATGTGGCAAGAGCCAACTTGCTCGGGAAATTGGACAACAGTTTTTTTCGGAACAAAACGATGATCGTATCTTTGCTGCGACACTGAACACAGAAAGCATTGAGACACTTGTTGACTCTTACCTCACCCTTGGAAGACACCTAGGGATAACAGAATACGCGTTGAAAGACTTAGAATCGTTAAAAGAAGAGAAACCTATTGAAGCAATTAAACAGCTCCATCGCTTGATTTTGCCGAAGATCAGCAAGTTTACCAAATGGTTAATAATAGCGGACAATGTGATTGACTTACGCTTAGTCCGCGACTTGCTTCCTCAAACTGGCAGTAAAGATTGGGGCCATGGGCAAGTGCTGATTACCACTCAAGATAGTGATACAATTCCTCAAAACGCTCCTCACACGTATCACGAATCGTTAAGCAAAGGAGTGAGGCGGGACGAGGCAGTGGAATTGCTGGAAACTGTATCGCAAATTTCCGAGCGAGTACAAGCAGAAAATGTCGCCGAACTTCTCGATTTTCAGCCACTGGCCTTAGCTGCTGCTGCTTATTTCGTGCAAACTGTTGTGACCAGTGGGTCTTCAAATTATAATTGGAAAGCATACCTTCAAGACATATCAACATACAGCCAGAGAAAATCGGCCGAAACTGTCCTTGCTAATGAGAGTTCAGCCTATGCTAAAACAACAATAGCCGCAGTAGAAATGGCTATCCAAAGAGCTGTTGAAAAAGACGAGGTTCTTCTTCATACATACTATTTTCTTTCGACGACGTACCACTCGAAACTGTTTTAAAGTTCGTCAAAGCC